AAAACAAACAAATATTAGCAAGGATGTGGAGAAAAGGGAACTCTTATATACTGTTAGTGGGGATGGAAGTTAGTACAGCCATTATGGATAACAGTGTGGAAAGTCCTTTAAAAAATAAAAACACGCAGGGTGCAGTGGCTCACGCCTGTAATCCAAGCACTTTGGGAGGCTGAGGTGGGCGAATCACAAGGTTAGGAGTTCAAGACCAGCCTGACCAACACGGTGAAACCACCTTTCTACTAATAATACAAAAATTAGCCAGGCATGGGGGCACGCACCTGCAATCCCAGCTACTCAGGAGGCTGAGGCAGGAGAATTGCTTGAAGCCGAGATCATGCCACTGCACTCTAGACTGGGCAACTGAGCAAGACTCTATCTCAATAAAAAACTAAACAAACAAATAAATAAAAATACAATTATCAGTATGTCCAAGAGATATCTGCCCTCCCATGTTTATTTCAGCACTATTTTCAACAGCAAAGATATAGAATCAACCTAAGTATTTATCAATGGATTAATGGATGTAAAAAAATCCATACATATATACAATGAAATACTATTCAGCCTTTAAAAAGCAGCAAATCCTGTCATTTGCAGCAGTGTGGATGAACCTGGAGAAAATTAAGTCCCAAAAGCAATTACAACACAAGCAAAAACAAAAACAAAAGTTGACAAATGCAAGCTAATTTAACTAAAAAGTTTTTGCTTAGCGAAAGAAACTATCAACAGAGTAAACAGACAACCTACAGAATGGGATAAAATATTTGCACACTATGCATCCAGTAAAGGTCTGATATCCAAAATCTATCAGGAATTTAAACAAATTAACAAGCAAAAATCCAACAACCCCCTTAAAACTGGGCAAAGGACATGAACAGACATTTTTCAAAAGAAGACATACATGCAGCCAACAAATGAAACATACGAAAAATTGTTGAATATTACTAATCACTAGAGAAATACCAATCAAAATCACAATGCAATACCATCTCTCATCAGTCTGTATGGCTGTAGTAAAAGGTCAAAAAATAACAGATGTTAACAAGGTTTTAGAGAAAAGGGAACGCTTACACGCTGCTCATGGGAATGTAAATTAGTTCAGCCATTGTGGAAAGCAGTTTGCTGATTTCTGAAAACACTCAAAGCAGAATTGTCATTTGACCCAGCAATCTCATTATTGGGTATATACCCAAAGGAATATAAATCATTCTACCACAAAGACACATGCACATGTATGTTCACCACAGCACGATTTACAATAGCAAAGTCAGAGAATCCACCTAAATGCCCATCAATGGTAGACTGAATAAAGAAAATGTGGTGCAAATACACCATGAAATATTTCACAGCCATAAAAAAAGAATGAGATCATGTCCTTTGCAGCAACATGGATGAAGCTGGAGGCCATTATCCTAAGTGAACAAACACAGGAACAAAAAAACAAATGCCACATGTTCTCATGTATAAGTGGGAGCTAAACACTGAGTACATATGGACACAAAGAAGGGAACAACAGACACCAGGGCTTACTTGAGGGTGGATGGAGGAAGAAGGGTGAGAATCAAAAAACTCCCTATCAGGCACTATGCTTATTACCTGGATGATGAAATAATCTGTACACAAACCCCTGTGACACACAATTTGCCTATATAACAAACACATGTGCTCTTGGACCTAAAATATAAGTTTGAAAAATTTGAAAAGTTGTTTTCTTTGAAGTAGAAAATGGAATAGTGGTTACCAGAAGCTGGGGAGGGTATGGGGTAGGGAAGGATGGAGAGAGGTTGGTCAATGTGGAAAAACTCACAGTTAGGAAGAATATGTTTTGGTGTTCTTTTACACAGTAGGGTGACTATAGCAAATATCAATGTAGTATATGTTTCAAGATAACTAGAAGAGAAGATTTTGAATGATGTCACCACAAATAAATGAAAAATGTTCAATGTGATGGATATGGTAATTGCCCCCATTCGATTATATACTATATAGTATATTTAACATTGACAATCACGTTGTACCCTACAAATATATACAATTATGTGTCAGTTATAAATTTTAAAATTAAGGGTTTTTAAAAAAAAGGACTCTGCCCAAAATTTAAAAAGGCTCAATTTAGAGAGGCATGACAATTGAGATGCAAAGCAAAAGGAAATACTAGACAGAGGTTAGAAACCAAGTGACAGGGGATGAAAGACAGCATTTGATTTCTCACTTGGAGCTTGAGGAACCTGTATAGAAGCATCGTTTGAGCTGGGACTTAAGTAATACATAGATAAGCAGAGGAAGGGAGGTGTCAGAGAAAATATAGGGCATTTTAGGCAGAAGGATCAGAACGAACAAAGATTTAAGAAAAGTGAATGACAATGGTCCCATGTGGCTATATCTGAGTACTCATGAGGTGGGGACATAGTGGAAATATATCAAACTGGCAAGATCAGTTGAGATCAGATCATATAAGGTTTTACATGTTAAGCCAAGAAGTCGGATTGTAATGAGTAATTAGGAGCCACCAAAGACCCCTGGGCAGAGAAAGAGGCATGATTCAACCAAGTTATGGCAAATGTCAAACAGGAAGTTCAACTCTAATGAAACTTTAAGGGAAGGACTGGATATAGGATGACCAGCTAGCAGGTTACTGAAATAGTTTCAGTACCCTATTTCAAAGAAATTATGAGGGTCTATATTAAGGCAGCAGGAATAGAAAGATCTGATAATGGAGACAGCAATAAAGTAGATAGAATCTGCATGACTGATTAGGTGAGCAGTGTGGATTCAAACATGATTCCGAGGTTACTCAACCAGGTGACTGGAAGGGTTGTTACATTGTTAACTGCAATTGAGAACAGTGGAGGGAGAGCAGTTTACAGATACTTGCAAGGGTGTGGCAAATATCCAAATGCTTAGAAATAGGTCTTTTATATGATTAGAAAGCTAATTTCAGTTTTTTAATAGTTGGACTGTATATAGCATGTATGAATATATATTGTGAGGACTGAAACACAGCATTGTTCATAATATGTAAACAATGTACATTTATTGCCTATCCTTGTTTTTTGTTTTGTTTTTTAACCTTCATGTGACAACAATGGCCAGTATGTTCCTGAGTATCCACCCCTGCCTCATACCCCGTATGTTCTAAAAGAAAAAAATGAAATGAATGCTGCATTATATAATTAGTCACAACTTTATTACCATGCATTTTCCTGAGAGATGGCTGTTAGAGAAAAGACAATTTCTGTGAATTTAGTGCCATAGCTAAACATTTAAAGCCCCCAGATAAATCGAAAAAAAGGCCACTCTCTGGCAAAGTTACCTCCAGACTCATAAGGGATATTTGGGTCACATACTGATATTGGAAGAAGATACAACTGAGGGTGTCTACATTTCAGACATTCACTATTTTTGTATTTAAATTCAAATCTAAAGGTCCTTATAGAGTTGTATGTGTGTAGATGTATTTATTCCAGATTGGAGTTTGCTCATTAACCTAGATTAGCACGTTAACTTAATATCAGTGGGAGATTTCTCTGGTTGGTTATACCTTAACATTCAACGACTGCTATTCTTTTGCTTAAGATTATTGGTCTTAGGTAATATAAACTAGAAGGAATATAAACCTTGATAAGCGTTGGAATAGCATGAGCAATCTGACATTCTTACAACATTGGGAAAGATACCATCTGTAATTTATTTTTTTCCACAAAACTTACATTATTGGTAGTAGAGAGGTAGGTATTATAAATAATTAGACCTTTAGCAATAAGAATCATCTGATTTTAGGCTTGCTTGTCTTTAATTGGTAGTGAATAGAAATATACATTTTTATATGTTATCTTCATTGCTAACCTGATTAGGTCCATGTAAATCCCTAGAACACCTTGAGCAAGTTTTATATTGCTTTTGAGGATACAGAAAAATGGCACATCATGGCCATATGTATAGGTTGCACATTTGGGTTTGTAAACATTGTTTGGCTCAAATTACTATCCCAATATGTAAATCCTTATACATGTTAGTAGTGAGCTCATGAGATAATTTATCCCTTCATAAATTGGGAAATATGTCTGTATTTCCCAAGTCTTAGGTTCCCTATAATGTAAGCTCCATTTTCTACAATTCGGGGGACTATTTGACTTTAAGCAAGCCTTCACATAAGATGCAAATTTGGTCTCAAAGGCAACACTGTTGAAAAATAGATAGTTAATCTGAGGAGGGGAAGGGGTTTCTTGTAGCTTCCTTACTTAGTTATGAGTTCCCTAAGATCACTAACCAAATCTCATGCATGTTTATATAGCCTACAACTTTTATATAGATAGTAGGTGCTCAAAAATGTTAATTGAAGGGATGAGTATCCTTCCTTTGTCTCATTGAGACCCATTTAAATTCATTTTAGCAATTGGGTTTGTATACTAAGAATGTTTCACCAAACCCCGTCTCTACTAAAATACAAAAATTAGCTGAGCATGGTGGCGCATGCCTGTAGTCCCAGCTCTTCGAGAGGCTGAGGCAGGAGAATTGCTTGAACCCAGCAGGCAGAGGTTGCGGTGAGCAGAGATCGTGCCATTGCACTGCAGCCTGGGTAACAAGAGAGAAACTCTGTCTC